GGTCAACGGGGCTGGGTCAGTGGTAGAGACGAGACAATGTTTGGGAAGAAATTTCAAAATACACATGTTTTTATGAAAAATTCTCAAAATACACATGTTTGGGTTTGGGCATCTGCGGTCGTCAACCGCGGTGAATGCATTTCACTGCGGCAGACGAAAGCAGTGAATGCATCACTACGGTGGACGGCCGAGGTGAATGTCTGACCTAACACTGAAACTTCAAATGAATGTAACTTTGTGCTCGGTTATCCGATTTGATATGATCCAATTTGGGTCAACCAGCAAGCTTGAATTGCTTAATCGAAAAGTAATCTCAAACACTAACAAGAACTATGATTTTTGTCTAAGTGTTGTAAGTGTTTCAGGTACCCTTGTTTGCACGTATGCAACTTGTGTTTGGCTCGACGAAAAAGGGCGAATGAAGACTTGTTGTGAAGCTGTGAAGTTTCTCTATAAGAGGAAATTGTTGGGAGCTCGAGAAGAGGCCAGGAAGACTGATTTCAAGCTTCTCAAAACCATACGCTGAAACTGGAAAACTGTCAGATTTTCACTAAGTCTGGAAGGCAGCGTGGGTACCAACTTTTGGAGCTTGGTTCGAGGGGTTTGGAGGGGAATCGAGTTCCAAGGATGCAGCCACACGAAAGTACATTTCTCATAGAACAACATAGAGGCATTGGGTGATCAAAACCATACCTTGAAGGCTTCCGACGAAGCACAAGAACCCAAGTATTTTGGGCGTGAAGAGCAGAAAATTCATCATCCATCGCCTTGTCCCAGTGAGGATGCCCTTTCGCTTGGGAGTAGCGAGTGGGGATCACAATAGGATCGACCTGGTAAGATAAATAGTCACGATGAGAGGAAGGAGGCTAGGCGAAGTTGTAGCGAGTAGAGCGGCAAGGTGGAGCCGATGCAGGTGGCGGGAAAGGAGAGCCATCGTCATCATCCGAGGAAGAATCACCAGACGACGAGGGGACAGGAGAATGTGGTGGGGTCGGGGGCAGCGGCGGTAATAGTGTAGCATCATCAACCTCATCATCATCGGGGAACGAGGGAAGAGTGAGGGAAGACACAAACAGTGGGTAGGACTCAGAGGAGGCAGAGTAGAACATCAAGTTTTCAAAGAAAACGTCAAAGAGAGGGATCACAACAAATGTACCCTTTATGAATGTCAGTATAGCCTAGGAAGACACAACGAGTGGTTTTCAAAGTTAACTTGGTACGTTCATAATGAGGAAGAAGAACAAAACAAAGGCACCCAAAAACACGGAGACGGGAATACGGAGGATGTTTACCAAACAATATATAATAAGGGTTGAACTGACTAAGGACAAGAGTAATATGGTAGTTAATGAGACGCACAGGGGAGGACACGGTTTCAGGCCAGAAGGAGGATGGAACATGAGAAGCTAACAGAAGAGCACGAGTAAATTCGACAATCTGGCAATTTTTACGTTCAACAGGACCATTTTGTTGGGAAGCACCCGGACAAGACTTTTGAGTAAGAATGCCAAAGGATGAATAGAGCTCAAGAAGAGGATTCGAGCTAAACTCCCCCTGGGTCGGATCTGACAACACGAACAGTTAGGCCAAATTGGGTCTGGATCATTTTGAGAAAATCGGTACCAACGGAAAGAAGATCAGATTTCAACCGAAGAAAATAGACCCATATATATCTAGTGGCATGATCCACAGAAAGAGCAAAATATTTGAAGCCTATCCGTGATGTAGTCGGACTAGGACCCCAAAGATCGGTATGTATCAGATGGAAAGGTTCAAAGATAATGGTAAGACTAGACGGAAAAGAAATACGGGTAGTCTTTGCCTCAACACAACTGGAACACAAAAAATCCGACCTTGTCACTTTATTCTTTTCACCAAACAAATGTTGATTAAACATGGCCATAAGCTTACTAGAATTTGGATGACCCATCCGAGCATGCCATGACAAAAATGTTTTATCATGGAGTCTCGAAAAAACTGAAATAGGAGAAGTCCTAGACACCAAAAAGGAACCAGGGGAATCTGATGATGATGATGGAGCGACGAGCCGATCAAGGTGGAATATGCGCCCATGTTTGCTGCCCCTACCTATCTCTCGCCCCGTCGTTAGATCCTGAACAGAACACCCAGAAGGTGCAAACACAACCCGACAACCTTGATCAATAAGTTGCCTAATAGAAACCAAACTAGGCAATAATCTTGGAACATATAACATATTGGTTAAAGCGACATTAGAGTCCTAACCGATCCCTTCCCTACAACAGTTAAGCAAGTACCATTTGCCACTTGCAAAGACAAATTCTCAACCGGCCGAATATCAGATAAGGGAGATGCTTGATTGGTCATATGATTAATACAACCCGAGTCTAAAATCTAACAAGGAGCATTACCAGATGCTTAAAGTCTGACAAAAGCGGAGAGACCATGATGCCATCAGTACTCGGGGCTGCTTCGGTCGCATATACTGGACGAGAGGACCCAGCCACATGAGGAGGATTAGAGCTGCCGGAGTTGCTATGGGGAGCGACGTTAGTGGTGGCGTAGGTCTCGGATAGGGATTTCCACATTGCTGCAGAGGTGGGTAGGAGACGAAGACCCAAAACAATCGAAGGATTCACATTCTTCAAGATCCAAGAATGTACCTTCGCGTCAGATTGCATCCATTTGGTCAGCTCGTTTTTTGAAGACGGACGAAACCTGTGGACAAACTGTTGTACCATCAAGGAAGCCAAAGAAGCCTTGCCCCTCAACAAAAGTGCGAAACTGGAACTCCCACAAAGCGAAGTTCTTGGAATCCATGCGAGTATTGATAGCCTCAGTTTCCATTGTAGCCTCTGATACCATGATGACAGAAGAGGATTAAACAGTAACGGAAATACAAAACGAAGACAGATTTACGTGGTTTCCTTGAGCGTTGTGATCAAGACTAGTCCACGGGCAAGATCGATACTTCTCTTATTGTTGTGGTCGGCCAAGACCTCTCAAAGTACATATATATACACGTCGAGGGACAACTCCTTCACTAACCCTGGCTGAGAAACTCTAATAACATGACCCAATCATCATTAAACATGGCCATGCATCTACGTGGGCTTTTGGCCCCTTTTTACAATGACCGAATTATCTCAACAACGACGATATAAATATAAGAACTATAGGAGTAGGAGAAGAAATCAAAGGGAATTAAGAAAACGAACATGAGCAATAAACTTATCTTCAGGGCCATATTACAATTGCAGCGGGGAGGAAAATGAAAAATCGAACAAAAACAATGACCTGCTGGTAAACGAAGATATCATAATCAAAAAAGGCGCCTACTATAAGAGAAGGGAAATCATAACCTATTGAGGTGGAGATGGGTAGAGAAATAAAATAAGAATGAGAGCTACAACGAAACAAAAGAACATAGAAAGAGTAGGCTGGCGAGAGGGGAGAAAGAAAAGAATATGGGGAAGAGGACATTTTGTTCACAACTTCACATAACCCACGCATCACAAAAAAAAAATCAAAGTACATTATTACTTTTACTGCCAATAAAGAAGAGAAGAAAGATTTTGAATTGGGAAAAAGTACACAAAAGTGTACAATATATTAATGAGGGATAAATCATAGTGGTCCCACCAAGATTTACTTTTCTATAAAAAATCTTAGTAGGCCCACTAAAATTTATTTTGATAAAAAGATGAAGTGATAAATAAGATTTCATTTTTATTTTTATCAAATTTACCTAAACCACCTTACATCTTGGGAAGTTTGTAGAATTTAGTTGATTTTTTATATTTTTTCTAGATAACAAATTTATCCATTTTTCAAGAGAAATATTTACAAAATAATTTTCCCCTTCATTTATTACCCCAACTCTTTTCTTACATAACATCTCTCCAATTATTGCTTCAAAAGGAAAAAAGTTACAAAAATTAATTTTCACTTTGTTTACTACCCTTACTCTTTTCTCCAAATCAAAGTATTATCTTTGTAGATCATTTTAGTAGTATTGAAATGATGATTGTGTAGTGTTGCACGATGGTTCGATGATTTGATAGTAATGTTTTATTGTATTGTAATATAATGATTTTTACTGAATAAAAAATTAAAGAAAAAATAAAAAAAGTTGTGAAATGAGAAAAATAAGGAAGAGAGGGAGAAAATAACAAAAATAATGAGATAGATGAAAAGAGAAAAAAATCAAAAGAATAATTAAAAATATGGTAAATCATTTAATTATTCATTTTTAGAATACCCAATACCAACTCAACTTTCAATAGCTGTGATTGAAAACAGTTCAAACAAAAAAAACTGTAAAACATTTTTAAAAAAGGTTAATATTTACGTATGGCCTGAACTTTGACCAAAATAAACATTCTGGCCAATCTTTTTTATCTATTACATTCTGGCCCGAACTATACACCAAAATAAACAATTTGGCCAGATCTGACTTTTGACCGTTAACTTGGACGGTCAAACGCGTTGACCGTTAGTCAACGCGCCATGTCACTGCCAAGTCAACATAAAATATTTAAAATAATTCACAATTTCCCGTAATTTTAAATTATTATAAATTAAAAAAATCATCTAATACCTTAGTTAAACCAAAAAGAAAAAAAGAAAAAAATTAAATATTTATCAGATCTTCTTACTTGGCAGTGACGTGGCAGTGACTTGGCAAGTTGACCGTTAGTTAACGCGTTTGACCGTCCAAGTTAACGGTCAAACATCGGGTTTGGCCAAATTGTTTATTTTGGTGTATAATTCGGGTCAGGATGTTATAGATCGAAAAAATTGGCTAGGATATTTATTTTGGTCAAAGTTAGGCCATACAAAAATATTAACCTTTTAAAAAATAAGAAACACAAAAGAAGCATTGTGTGGGCCCACAAAAGCCCTGCCAGAGCAGCAGAGTACGTCAGCAACTACCAAAATAAAAAAACAAACAAACAAAAACACGGAAAACTCAAATTATAAAACAATGGACACAAAACGAAAAACCCCACCAATTGCGAAAAAAACTGCAACAGAAATAAGCACATCAGCTTTGTGAGATGACCGAACCGCCAATATCTCTCCACCAAAACCGGCAAACACTTCCTCCCTCTCCCCCAACCCCTTCCCAAAGTCGTGTGAACCAACGCCCTCCTTCCCTCTCGCAGAGCCATAGCTGGGAAAGGAAACCAAGAGAACCCAGTTACAGGAAAGAGAGATACAAACTTTGCCTTCCCCACGAAGTTTCCCCACTTCGCTTTCCTCCCCTTCAGCCCATGCCCATCATTTCAAAACCCATTAAACTCTACTTCCCCCCTGCCATTTTCTTTTGCTGTTATTTCCAAGCTTCTTTCTTCCCTTCCCTTCTTTTCTTGACGTCTCTCCGTTTTTGAATTTTGGGGGTGTAGTGTAGTGTGGGTAGTTAGTTTTGCTTCTAATGGAGAGGCTGGTGGAGGGAATGAAGGCTGTGGAGAGGAAGCAAGGGAGCTTGAAGATGCTTGCTCAAGAGCTTCACTCACAGGCCAACTCGATTCTGCGTTTCACCCTTGAATGGAAGGAACTGGAGTCGCATTTCGAGTCTATGAAGGAAGGGTTGACGGAGCGCGGGAGGGAGCTTGCGTTGCAAGAAAAGGAAGTGGGTGAAGCGTGGGGGAGGGTTAGGGTTAAGGAGGTTGAGGTTGAGGGTTTTTTCAGGGAGTTGAGGGAGAAGGAAGGGGAATTGTGTTTGATTCAAGGGAAAGTTCTGGAGCGTGAATCCGAGCTTGAAAGGAAGGTGGGGGAGTTAGGGTTTGTTAAGCACAAGGTTGAAGAGTGTACGGAGGAGCTTCGGGTGAAAGAGAGGGGATTGGAGCTTGCGGAGAGGAGATTGAATGACCTACGCGTGGAGGTGGCTGGGAAAGAGGTCGAATTGGGTTTGCTGAGAAGGGCTGTTGAGGAACAGAGAAATGAGCTTACGAGTAAAACCAAGGAAGTGGATGATTTGGCGAACCTGATTTCAGACTCCAGCTCTCGGCTTGAGTTGAAAGAGAAGGAGTTAAATGAGGTGCAAGAGTCGATCGAAAGATGTAATGATGAATGCAGGTGGAAGGAAATCCAGTTGGGCGACTTGGAGAAGAGGAGCAAGGATTGTTGTGCGGGGCTTGATTCTAAGAGGAATCAATTGGATTTGATGAATGAGGAGCTTGCGAAAACCAGGAACTTGGTTGAGGAGCAACAGCGGGAGCTTCATTCCAATGAGGGTCACCTTGGTTCGATCAAAGAGATGATTGAGGAATTCGGGGAAGAACTCGAGAAGAAGGAAGCAGAGTACGTTGAGGTTCTCAAGTCCGTCAAGGACAAAGAAAAGCAACTACAGTCGCTTGATACATCAATCGAATCGTCTGTAAAGAATCTTGAACTGAAAGAGGCTCAATTAAGTGCTCTTAAAGCTGACATTGATGTCGGAAACAAAGAGCTTAGCAAGATGGACAAGATCCTGGAAGTTGCTCAATCTCAGATGAACAGGCATAGCAAGGAGCTTCAAGCTGTAAAGGAGCAGAAACTGTCTATGCAGTCATTGGCTGAAGATTTTGCTCGCTTTCTCGAATCTAAAGATAAGAGTCTTGGCGTGGTTGGGAAATATCTGAAAGGATGCCTTGTGAAGCTTGAATCGAAAGTGACACAACTGAATTCAATCCAGAGTAAATTGTTCATCTGCCACAGAAGACTCACAGCCAAAGGACAAAGTGTTGATTCCATGAAGGGGACATTAGAAAAAAGTGTAAAAGAACTTGAGAAACAAGTTGAGCAGTTTAGGCTGAGGGAGGAGGAGTTGGAGTCGAAACAAAAACTGCTTGAAGAGCGATGTGCTGAAGTAGAAGCGAGAGATAAGCAATTAAATAGTGTTGCTGATTTGCTGAGAGGCAAGGAGCAGCTGCAAAGTACCACAGTGAGTATAGTGAGTTGTGTCCAAGGAAATGGTAGAAATCTGCAGCTTCTTTTGAACGAGCATTTCAAGAAGCTTGATTCACTTCATAGTGAACTTTGGACCGCCTTGCAGAAGTCACCTGATCCAGCAAAGCTGGTGCTAGAAGGGATTATGGGGTTTTATTCCGTAGAAGGCAGTGGAGAGTATGAGTTGGCTGTTACTAGGAAGAGCTGCATTACTTTGCTGGAGTTTTTGTCTAGAATCTCCCCTACGGTTAAGCCTGAAGTGTTGAAAGAATCAATGGAACTAGCTAGAGATTGGAAATCAAAATTGGGGATAGCTCCTGGTAACTCTTTGGAGGTGTTGGGTTTGGTGAAACTTATATCTGCATTTGGATTGCCTCTTGGTTACAAATCCGGTATTTTTACAGCTGTTTACCCAAATAGGAATGTCGAAGCCAAAGAAGCATGGCAAGCGCTCGAACTTGCAGAAAACTTAGCTGGTAGGCCCTACTGTTCCCTCTTTTGTTTTAACATAGTTTGTGCACTTTCCAAGTTGCAAGTTTCAATCAACTTGGATTGCAAAACTAACTTTGAAAGAGTTCTCAACACTGATCTTAATGTTGCTTTATACTGTCCTTTGTTCTGTTCAATAGTCTTGTGCCTGTATCCTGCCAAACTACATGTCTCTGATTACAGTTTGGCCATGGGACTTGAAGAATTTTCTTGTATCTGTGATTTGAATAAGTGCTGCTGCGTATTTGGTTTTGGTAATGTAAGAACATAGTGGGTTCTTTTCCTGTATGAATAGTTAGGTAATGTTAGCAAGTATGTTTCTTTGTTTTCCCCCATTTCAAATCAGAGCACGAGCAATTGGAGATATAGATAGGTGTCAAAAATCAGCTAGCTATAGCTTATCTTGGCATCATCAGAAGTATGTGCCTGAGCAAATTGTATTGGATTAATGAGCTTGAATGAAAATGGATATGGAAGACCAAAAAAGATGAAGCTTGTTATGCTCTTTGCAATCATGTTAATTCTAGTTGCTTTCGCAGTTCTTTGTCGATCGCTTGGCTTCAAAGTTACATATTCAGTTTTTATTTTGAAGTGCTTTTATACTTAAAAAATATTTGGTTTTCTAGTGTTTGATTTCACTTATCTATTTTGCTTCAGGTTCCTTTATTCTTTCTCCTGTCCATCCTACATCTGATGGGCTCATGTGTTTTAGCACTCTCCATGAGGCCAGTAGTCCACAGCTGCTCCCAGATGAGCCATTACCAAGTGGATTATCTGAGAATGAAGTTACTAATGCCCTTAGAAACTCACCAGACCCGGCAAAGATGATCTTTAATCTGATAGAAGATTCGCTTGTGCACCAAGAGAGCAAAGCCATTATAACATGTAATGAAAGTGTCCTGAGGTATCAGGTTCTTCTTTTACAACAATTGTCGAGTGTGTCGCCGGTGGTGACTCCTCATGGGCACGAAGCAGCAAGAAGGCTGGCGGTTGCTTGGAGAGGAAGTTTGAGGCTGGAGGCCATGGATATATTGGCGTTTCTTTTGTTTCTGGCTGCATATGGGCTTGCCACTCATTTTGAAGAAGATGATGTTCTGAAACTTGCTGGGAGGATTACTCACTATAAAAAGTCTCCTGATTTATGGCGTGCTCTTGGCTTGACGATGAAGGTACCTGGTAAGTATTTCTTTTGCTTTTTTCTTTCTTTCTTTCTTTCTTACTTTGGATTTTCCCTTCCTATGGTTTCACCCCTTATGATCCATCAATATGGCCTACCTAAAAATGCCTAAAATATGAACTCACCCAGTTGAGCACACCAAACCGAGAACTAAAGCCACAGACCATTCCTTTGTTTTCTAGCAGAAATCATTTCTTAATTCTGCCTCACATGATCACTCAGTGCGGGGCTGGGTGGTGACTTCGGCATCCTAAGTCAGCTTAGCTACAAGTTGGATAGAACAAGATTTAAGTTGCCATTTTGTTACGATCCATAATTTAGTGATTGTTTCGTTACTCGATCCATAATTTAGTGATTGTTTAGGCATTTAACGCCTGGTTTCATTCGTGTACAGGGCTGATTCAAAGTCTCGTAAAGAAGGATATGTACGTTGAGGCTGCTAGATTCAGCTGTGCATTTGGCCTAGTCAACGCTTACTCACCTGACCTGTTGCTCTTGAAGTTATTGGAGAAGAGAAAGCTCTTGGAGCATGGGAAGCTCTTACTTGAGTCCCAAGTAACCCACATCCTCTCTCTTTGTTCTTCGTTTAGCTTTGGCCTTGTAATTATTTTTTCTCCCATGTGAATGAATGTGCGTCCTGTACTTGGAAAATTGCGCAGTGTGAAGCCTTCGACAAGCACATGGACTACTTAAAACAACTGCTCGAACGCGTGCTAGAGCTGAACTTTGATCCCACCCTATTCAGCTCAAAACTGATCTCACATTTCCAGGACATGGCAATGCTGTTAGAACGGAAGAGAAGTAGCTTGCTAGGTGTCTTTGCTCGACTCTCTCAGCCACAACCACCCCGATTGCAAGGTGGATCAATGGAGCATGGAGCCATTGCAGTGCCTAACGACATTCCTAGCTACATGTCTAACACGAATGACCAAGTTACGCAGCAATGGCAGCAGCCGCAGCATGTATACTGGAGTCATGAAGCACAGAGAAACAAGCGTCCAAGGGCTGGTATGCAGTAAGAAAAAAGATTGGGACAGCTTATTTAGTGGTCAAACAGAGTGAGGCATTTTGTGATTCAATATGAAGCCTCTAATTAGTAGCAAAGATTTATGTTGTTTTTGTGTATATATATGATGATTATCCAGTCCTTAGTAAGTTTCTTGGTAAACAGGCTGTAAATAGTACTCTAGAACCACTAATGTTGAAGGATCTGCGTATCATTGTTGTAATTTACGGACAATTGGGGTGTGTATTAGTTGTCGATGAATTTTACAATGTTATAAAGCATTGGTGCTTTAGTTTTTGCCTTTATGGTACAGCTTGAAGTTGTATCTTTAAGGTTATGGTACAACTTTAGATTTTACCTATACTCTTTTATAAAATCCCTTTATGGTACAAATTAAAGTTGTACATTTAAGTTATGGTACAACTTGAAGAGCTGAAGTTGTACCACAACCTAAAGATCAAATTCCCTTATGGAGTTATGGTACAACTCTAACTTGTACCTTTATCGTTGTGGTACAAGTACAACTTAAAATTGTATTTTAAAGCACCAATACTTTAAAGCATAGTAGAAGTGCTTATTAGTTGTCTTTGTGATTTATTTTGCGATGATTTTACCTAACGTGAATACTACACGTTTGTCATACATAATTAGCAAAAATTCAACTAATACTCTCTCTCACAATCTCATAGTAGTCTAGAGAAATTTTTTTATCACTTTAAAAATATTTTAAGGAATTCAATTAATAATTTAATATATTTATATTTACATTCCCGTTATATTATAGATTTCTAGTATTTTGTAACTAATGCATGCTAAAATATTAAGCATATTGTTACCTTCAAATGAAATACAAATTTGTGCGTACCAATATCACAATATAAGCATAGCATATTCTGGTTCCATTTCACACATTTCTTTTAAAAAATGTTAATTAATTTTTCAGATTAATAAATAAATCTGTTTCAAAATAAAAAATCTTACTAAAGATCGAAATGGTATTATAATATTCTCACTTGATGATAAGACAATATCTAGTTTCAACCCTAATGAATGAAATGAAATAATGAAAATCTAATTTAATTATATTCAAATCATTTATGAAATGAAGTATATATAAAAAAAAACCATTACCCCGATAGTACAGCCCAAATAAATGAGGTCAAATTAATGATGACATTAGAAAAATATAAAGATAAAATTATTATGAAATAAAATGTATAAAATGAATTCACAACACCAAAAAAATATTACCCCATAGGCCCATACTACAACCCAAACGAGGAGCCTATGATGCTTAGTGAACAGTAAAACATATTGAGCTTTATATATAAGAAAGGTGATGTGTGGGTTTAAATTTGAGCAAATCATGGTGATAAGTTGGTTTGGAACTAAAAGACCTTTGCTAAAAAAAATTGGTTTGGGACTAAAAGGATTATGGGGCATGTAACTTTAGTCGACTAATTTATGGAGGAAAAAATCCCACTGTACACATGTTTTTAAAAAAAATTCTCAAAATACACATGTTATGAAAAAAATTCTCAATCTACGCATGTTTGGGCCTTCACCGCGTTAAAGAATAGCGGTGAGTGCATCACCGCGTTAGAGAAACACGGTGATTGCATCACCGCTGTAGAGGAAGGCGGTGATTGCATCACCGTGTTAGAGGAAAACGGTGAATGCCTGACCTGCGTCAAATCTTTAAAAAAACGTAATTTTGTGCTCGGTTATCCGATCGTGATGAAATTTTTTTTGATTCCGCTTAATTTTTCGAGATCTTGCAAGCCGCAAACCGCCGCCCCCCCTTCGTCCCGAAAAAACGTCGTTTGCTACCCCGAACGAGCCTTTTTTCGATTTCGTCAAACTTTGAACGATCATAACTTTGTGCTCCACAATCTGAAAATTATGAATTTTTTTTTGATTTTGCATAACTTTTTGAGGACTACAATTTTTATCATAGACATAATTTCGGAATGTACTTGGATTCCTGAAAAGAGAAGGTAAACTTATTCCCAAAGGCCCGTATATCCAAAATAATTCATTTTTTGAAAATTCTCTCCTACTAAAAATTGTAGTCCTCAAAAAGTTATGCAAAATAAAAAAAAAAATTCATGATTTTCGGATTGTGGAGCACAAAGTTATGATCGTTCAAAGTTTGACGAAATCGAAAAAAGGCTCGTTCGGGGTAGCAAACGACGTTTTTTCGGGACGAAGGCGGTTTGCGGCTTGCAAAATCTCGAAAAATTATGCGGAATCAAAAAAAATTTCACTACGATCGGATAACCGAGCACAAAATTACGTTTTTTTAAAGATTCGACGCAGGTCAGGCCTTCACCGCGGCCGTTGAATGCGGTGAAGCAATCACCGTGTTTGTCTACAACGGTGATGCAATCACCGTGTTTGTCTAACGCGGTGATGCACTCACCGCTCTTCTTCAACGCGGTGAAGCAATCACCGCGTTAGTCTGACGCGGTGAAGGCCCAAACATGCGTAGATTGGGAATTTTTTTCATAACATGTGTATTTTGAGAATTTTTTTTAAAAACATGTGTACAGTGGGATTTTTTCCAATTTATGGAAGGCTGGGTTATAATAGGTGAATGGCAATGGTGGCGGATCTAGAAATTTTTAACAGGGTGTCCTCTTCAAAATTTTTTTTTATATATATAATAAAAAAAATCATTTATAAATAATAAAATATCGGACTAGTACAAATTTTAACATAAGGCTGCGACGTATTTTTATATTCTGAAAAAGAATAACAAATAGGCTTGGTAAATTGCTCAACAAATCTGTATATCCTACTAGACAATAGAACAACAAATGATTTGCAACTTAATGGAGGACAATGTTTAAAAAATATAGTATATCCTAAATTTAAATAACACAGACTATCGCTTATTTTTTTTAAGTATACACAAACTACTACTGAGGATAGGATTATAATTGTAGGGGTGTTCCGAATCACTAATTATAATTCTTTTATCGTATTTCCAAATTTTAAAGTGTCCGGACACCCCTAAATCCTCATGTGTCCGCCCCTGAATGGCAATTCATGATTATATGATAACTAGGAATTTGAGCCGTGCAATGCAGCGGCTGGTTGGATAAGAGGGCAGAGCAAAATATTTTGATGATTTGTATTTGAGTAAAATTTTAGGATTAAATAAATAAGACTATAAGAGAAGAGGATTGTGTTTCGAAAATTCTCTTGCGTTAAGAATAAAGAGATATCAACTCTGCTTGGTCTATTTAAAATTGCTTTTATACTTTCAAAGTTAAATCTGGATCAAACATTCCTATAAGCTCACTTTTTGAAAAAAAAATAAAAAGTGATTTTTTATAACATAAAGCAAGCAGAAGCTGCAAAAAACTACTTTGAATATATAAGATTACCCTTATTATTTTTAGCCTTTCTACTATGCTTTAAAGTATTGGTGCTTTAAAGTACAACTTTAAGTTGTACCACAACGGTAAAGGTACAAGTTAGAGTTGTACCATAAGGGAATTTGATGTTTATGTTGTGGTACAACTTCAACTCTTCAAGTTGTACCATAACTTAAATGTACAACTTTAGTTTGTACCATAAAGGGATTTTACAAAAGAGTACAGGTACAACCTAAAGTTGTACCATAACGGTAAATGTACAATTTCAAGTTGTACCATAAAGGGAAAAACTAAAGCACTAATGCTTTAAAGCATTGTAAAATTCCTCATTATTTTTATTATTTTCAAGAAAACATACTTTTCTCTCATTTATATAATTTTAAAAATAGAATAAATTGAAAAATAATATTAATTCATATTTTTTCTCTCCCCTCCTATCCAGTTCGCACAACTATTGCTTCATTTAAGTTCCATGACTATGGGTTTTTTAGTTTGGAAAAAAGTAAAAAACTGCGGATTTTTTTAGTCTGTATTTTTAAAAAATAATTGACTGATAGTCCGATCGAGAAAAACTCTTGTATAGGCTAAATCGATATACAGTTTTTAGCGGTATGAATTGATTGAATCACGGTTGAATCAAGATTTAACATAAAATACCATAATGCTAACGTTTAACATTCTATACGATTTTACAATTATTGAATTCGTGATAATCAATAAAGTGGTCCATAAATGACCCGTCGCCTCAAAAAATTTATGAATTTGAGCCCAACCAAAGAATTAGTGGAAACAACACACTACAATAATAACTAAATTTAGTGAACAGTAACAGGTGTTTTGGACTTATGGTTTATATATACTAAAAAATGTGAAGAGTAAAGCAAGGAAGAATTGGATAGCATGGATGGGTTACAGTAGAGGCTGTCTATGAGGAAAAATGAATTGAGCTGGACGTGTTTTAGCAATGTGAAGAGGCAAAAGAAGGAAATTGAGGTTTAGGCGCGTACGTACAAGATTCATAATTCAAGCCAACTGATCGAAATAAGGCGTGAAGTGAAAACGGGCTAGAGTAGTTGAAATTTCATTATCACTATGGATTTAAGTTAGTGTTATGCATTTCAGTATGCTTTTATGTTTCAGTCATTTCTTATACACTTTCATCTTAAGTTAAGTTATGTACGTTGTCTTCATTTGAAGCATGCATTGCATCATGGAGCGTCAATCAGCTATGATTTAAAGAAAATAAGTATGTGTCATATCTTAAAAAAGATTATAAGACATCACTAAAATATGTTATGCAAGCAATAAGCCAAGATACTAAGTCGAACCAGTTAATAAGTTTACGTCTTCCCATTGTATGGGAAGACCTAAGTAAGCTCAAACTTCTCAAGTAAGTAAGCAAATACAATATAAGCGCGGCTCTCTATCAAGCGAGAGTTCGTTTCAAGCAAGCACTCAAGTATAAGATATCGAGTAATGCATACGAATAAGTACCCTCCCTTAACTAGTCGCACGCGATCACCTTACTATTTGTAGATGAGGAGCACATTGTAGAAGAGAGTTCATGATATGTATGAGGTAGTGAAAAGTTGCTTAAATAGCATGCAATATTGTGTTTCCCACAATGAGGAAACCTCATGGTATGTTACGTCCCGATCGGTGCCTGACGCGGGCACCACTACTCCCTGTAGATGGCAACGGCGGATTCGGGATTGGGTAGAGCACTGGGCCACATTGGAAAAAAGACAGAGGACTGGGGCGTAACACGACGAACACTGAAACGAACACAAAAAAATCGAAAATTTACAAGTGCTATACTAGTTCCGGATCGAGTGAGGGCTGGGCCGTGGCCCGGGGCGGCCCCCGGGATCCTCCGCTGGTAGATGGGTAGGTTACT